GCCTGATGTGAAGTCAGAATAGTAGAAAAGACTACATAAGACAATGGTACATCAAACAAAAATCTTATAAAGGCTGCTTATGCAGTTGAATCAGCTGGCAAGACCATCAAAAATGGTGGGATTCGCCACAAAGTATTCTATGAGAACAACCCACAATATCAAGTTACAATCCTAAACTTGAAGTTTTATGCCATAAAGTATTCTATGAGAACCACCCACAATATCAAGTTACAATCTTTAACTTGAAGTTGATGAGGAATTAGGTAAATTCAGTCACAAAAAGATCGAGAAGCCCCAGAAAACCCAAACTATAGAACGAGGAATACCTGAAACCCAGAAAATGTTCTATAGTATGGATCAAGCAATAAGCATGCAAGAGAAACCAGCTGAGTTGTTCTGTCCCATCCATCACTGCACAGTGACATCACAAGTCAGGATATAACAAAAAATCTACTGAGAATAGTTAACTACCTGATTTAACAGATGATAAATACAAGTGCCGGCTTGAAACAAATGCATCTTTGTCTTATCACATATATAGAAATTGGTACCAAAGTAAAACAGTTCAGTGAAGATGTGGCCTCAAGATAGCTAACCTGCAGTGCACGAGAACTGATGCCGACTCCATAGCAACACGTGCAGCAATCCATGCTACACCAGCTAAGATGCTCTGGATGTGACTCAACCAACCACTATCTCCAAGCAAGGATACTGAAGCAGACATGCTACTGAGATTACCTCCACCCCACGTCCAGCCACCATGCCTCTACAGATTTCACACAAATAGAATTATCCACTTTTAGCATGGGAAAAAAAATAAGTATTGTAAACAATGATATAAGATATCTGTGAAATAATTTACGTTCTCCATGACATTTGAAAAGAAACTAAGGTTGCCAACAGTTAATGTAAACTCATGTCCACAACTTTAAGCTTAATTCAATTGAAGGAAATCTGATTTAGTTACTTAAACCACCTAGATGTCGTATGCTAGACAACTTGGAAAGTGTCATTGATTTGTTAAGAAACTTTAATTGCTTTCGAACTTCTGCCAACTACAAATACGGAATTCCTTGGAATTCAGTACTTACCAAGAATGATGACGTCCCATCGGATGATGTTGTACCATGCATATCTAAATAATCCCTAAGGCGGGAAAAACTCTCTCTCATTGCATGTATGTTGTCTATCCCCAAAAAAACAATCTGAAGAGAAACATTGTCAGTTAAAACAAGCAGTTCCAAAGACAAAATATTGAGCTCCAAACCACTTTAGGCCATGTACAGACTTCAGATTGCAAATAATTTGAAGATGATTCTGAGCCTCCTCCCTTTGCTCCATTTGCTAAAGCATTTTTCCTAGGTCTTGCATCTACGATATAGAGCTTCCTATGACACAAAAACAAAATAAGAGTACATGCAATTTTTTAATAACCAAGTATCAACATTCAACTACATTGCAGATATGAAACAACAGAGTATTTTTTTATTCTACCCAAACAGAATTTTCTTAATATTCCAGAAAATAATCCCACGTGATGGGCCCAACAAGAGTGGTTATTTCCAAGTTATATGCATATGTGATTTATGATTTTTAACACAAAAGCATGCGAGAAATGAAAGCACATAGAGGATTCATGGTACTAAGAGATGACAAAAGATCATCAGTAAATCGAAATGTTAATTTTACCCAAATGACGAAAAAATCAGAAGCTCACCTTCGTGCTTCCTTCTGACCAGCTAATTGAGTGCAGAATGAAGTAACAAGTTTCTCATCAGAGGTACTGTAAAAATGGGTGAAATATATCAAACTTAGAATCCACCATTTCAAGCACTTTGAGAATCCAAATAAGAAACCAAATTATCATGCACAAGTCTAGTAAGAAATTTGAAACTTCTATATACCTCCTCATGTTCATCATCAGACCAACTAAAGGTTGTGATGAGCGAGCAATCACAGCTCCACTTCCTGCAATTGAGATATAAAAGCAACATGTAAATGTGGAAGCTATGCCAACAAAGTTCAAATAGAAGCACCACAACCGCTGCATTTCTACCTGGATGACACCACGAGATCACAGGTAAGCGACATCTTGCCCGGAAAGTAGACGTCTGGATCAGCTCTTCATCACTGACAACAAACAATTGTAATTTTATTTTATGTCTATACTTCTCAAAAAGATAGTTGAAACCAAAAAATAAACAGTGGTATGCCAAGTTACTAAAGAGAATCTTTCTGTTCAGATCTCAAATATGAACACAGAATATCTCAATGTTTAGTAGATACCAAATTAAACTTTTTCACTCCTGTACAAGGAATCAATGTCCTACCTAATGGATTTTGGAACCATCAAAGCAAACGGATAACTCTGACACAAGTCATAATTTGAGTTCAAGTTAGTTATACGCCAAAGGTCATTGGACAGAGTGAATGTTCCGTCTTTAATCATAGTCATTGACGCTCGTTGTGAACTTTTTCCAAGGAGCCGAAAATATTCATTAAGCAATCTTTCCTTTGGGTTTGTGTTACCGAATTTGGAAGGCCCACATGTGAAAGCATACAGATCCCATACTCTCTCTGGTTTGTTACACCTCAATAGCGCATCAACTACAGAACGTCTCTGCAAAAGTATGCCAATAGAATCATATAGTTTTTTAAGGAGAAATGCAGAAGGTAGCATAAGATGGAAAAAAACTCAAAGGTTTCACCTGCTTGGTACCAGGTCGAAAACCATAGACAACTATCCTCATGTCTTTTCCTGCAAAATGCACATGATTCATATGAAATGGTTTTAAACTAACATACAGAAGGTAGTAGATAAAGCGGTAAAGAAAATCCCTTCAATCAACATCATTTCAAGGGTGATGTCTAATGCCAATATAATTACTTTCAGGTAAGAAACAAATGTAGTAAAAGAAAAGGAACTAAATATCAAAGCGAATTTTGATATAGGGCGCAAGAATCTGAAAACAGATATTACTCAAAATCAGTTTTAGCAAATGGTAACACGGAAACATACCAGTGACCTGTAAAAGTCGTGTCGGTGCATTCTCGTTGTTGTGATATTTGTTTGATTGAACTTTCAGCGCCTACATACAATACCCATGACACAGAAATTACATACAAACAACAGCATTAAAACCAAGAGCCTAACTTCCCAAAATTAAATACATAGTGTAGATATAATGACTGACCAGTTTGTTAAACTTCTCGATAGCTACAAATGGAATTGTACCAAGTGGAATAAGCTTTCTGGTTCCTTCACTCTTCACAAAGAGAAACAAGGAAAAGTCCCTTAATTTAATAGCATTGTCTAGCAAAGATTATAGGAATGCAGAAAACCAACAGCAATATTTACACTTAAAGATTACAATGGGTTTACATAAAGAAGAAACAGAGGAAAGACAAGTCATACCAAAAACAGAATACGGAAATTTGACAACAAGAGGGTCCCTGCCTCATCAGTGTTAATGAGAATAACTCCACAAGCCTGAAATCAAAGCCATAAAGAACAAAAACAATTTCAATTAAAGACCAAAACACAAGCCTCTCCACAAACAAAAATCGATTTCTTGCTAATTTTCAAGAAACCAGAGAGAAGCATCCCTATCAATTCTCAAATCTAAAGTATAAAGCTTAGAAAACAGTGAGGGCACAAACAGAAATTCAATTCGAAACATCCAAATTTTGACCAAATCTAATGACATACCTCAAAGATGATCCTCTCAGATTCCAGCAAGCAATCCAAATTCGAATACGAGCCTGACCATGAAGCTGACTGAACCAACCCAATCAAAAGAGAACAAGAAAACATTAGGCCTCAATCAATTTTCCCCAAATTATGAGTTTCCAATAAAGAGATGGACAACAACAACAGAAAACGATGTTCTCGTGTTGCTTGCTCAATTAGGTTAAGGAAAAGGCGAGAGAGAAGCAAGAATTGATAGAGAAGTTAGAGCAAATACATCGAGTTTAGTCCATTCAAGCACGTCCCAGCTTCCGGTACCTTCCATCTTCTCCGACGAACATCGCAGCGATCGTGATCTCCCGGAGAGAGGTCTCAGCGCCGTCATTGAAAAGGAGAGAGAGGTGAGAGACGGTGATTCGGGTTCGGCTTCACCTGCCGCTCAACGGTGGCAAAGGACGGATTTAGCACGCTGCCTTTTCGCCACAAAGACAATGAGACATCTAAATACGACGCTGTTTCCGTACGCCCAAAGTTTACGTTTTTTTTTTTTTGCTCTAAATTAATATTACTCTCAATTTCTCAACTATATAATTAGATTGGGAAAAGGAACTTTGCTGATAAGCTAGTAAAGAAAAAAAGGAAATTTGCTGATAAAGAGTTTCTTAAATATAAAATATATTATTCTCAATTTCTCACCTTGTCTAGTTTCTTTACAGATTTTTTATTCAACTTAAATATAATGATGAGAGTTTGTTGATAAAGTCCATTTACTGAAAAACTTGGATGTAATTTTTGGTAATTAAATAAATATTTCTTATTTGAACACAATTAATTATTAACAATCTAAAACTATGAAATATCAAACGAAATTAATTAAATAAAATATTACTATATAATATCCAAAACTAAATGTTAATAAAGATTAACTAGTAATTGTATGATGACCCATTCCATAAAATTTTAACAGTTGTATATTATCATCATATAATCCTATCATAACACCAATATTTGTTTCTTAATGCTAGATATTTCCTTGAAAAAATTTATCATCATCCTAATATTTGTTTTTTAATGCTAGATATTTCTCTTAAAAAAATACTAGTACAATAAAGTTCATTAAACGATTCAGCATGTGCTGTCGAAAAAAAAAACGAATCACCAAGCTGAATTCTGTGACTTGGACTTGGAATCAAGAATGCAAAACACTAATCAATCTTCTCTCGGCCAGCTAGATCAAGTGCGATTCCATCAAAATTATGCATTCTTTAAACTCATATAAAATATCATCATGAAGAAGTAATTATCAACTAAATAAATCTATAGCACTTTAGTTCCAAACTTTGACAAACCCAAATACGAATACAAGAGAAGACCAAGCACGAGTAATAATAATACAGGACAAAACTTGGACAAATCGGAATTTAAGGTCCGAATTAAGGAATCTTCTGTGTCACCAACGGATATTACAGAATCAAAAACAACCTTGGCACATACGTATATATGCAGTATGGAACTCACCACAATAAAATCATAGAACAATATACAACGCATCATCATCCAATCCTACTACAAGTCAGAATTTTGCAATCCACGAAGCAGAATAGTAAAGGGGGAAGAAGATAAAGAGGTGCTCAGATCATAATACCTCTCATGGTAATCAAGCACCTTTTCCGTCCTCGGGTTTGGTCCAAGCTGCATAGGATACTGGGCGTGCCCACGGTTTGGTTACCCGGTGGGTGAGATCCAGTGCCGGTTTAGGTCAACGAGGTAGTAAAAATGCAGACTTGTGTGTCGTCCTCACTAGTTATCTGTGTCCAAGCATTTCTCAAGGGTTTTACTACTGGTACACTCCTGAAGAGCCTTGGCGTTAAGTTCTCTGCCAAATCTCCAGACATAATTGAGGCCAACTAGAAGCTCTGTAATGATGGCTTCTGTCTTCTGCTGGTTTGCAAAGAAAAGGGTTTGTGCAAGAACTATGTGCGTCCTTGAAACCAAGCTTTGGTGCTCGTAACTCCGCTCAGATTGCCATTTTATCATGTTGTGCGCTAATGGACCCAACCATTCTAAGATACCCGCCATTGCGTCTGTCCATTCTTTTGCTAGTCCTGGATCATAAACTGTGGAAGAACTCAAGTTTTTCGAGTACGGTTTTAGCCTTTCTCTAAGCGATGTTCTCACGCTCGCCGGTAACATGTTGTAAAGGTCGTCTCTTGCATCATCGCCTATCAAGTGAGGAGATGCAACAAATCTCTCTATCACGATGATGACATTCGCATAGTGTAATGCTAAGCAAGCTGCACCAAGGGTATTAGGAGCAGCATCTGACAACTTGGGTCGGGTAGGAAGTGTCAAGTTTTCAACGTGGACAGAGTTAGAATTTCCTTCAACAATGTGATGCTCAGCACTACTATTCCTAGCTCCATTCCGGGTCCTAGTGCTGAGAGGAGTAATCCCATCGTGAGACACCATACAGCCTTTAAACGGGCCAACCTGTGTTAACCGGTTGGCTTTCAATTGCTTTTTCACTGAGGAAATTGAAGGCCTTTCCGGTGTCTGCCCCATCTTCTTGTTGTTTTTGCCCATTCCGATAAGTGGTCCTGATTTGGAGGTGATTTTCCCGAGCTGACCTGAGTAAAACTTGAAACGTTTATGTTTTTCTGCAACAAGAGGACCTGACTTAGGGGATTCAGCGCTGAGAGAACCCGAAAGGAAATCACTCATCTTCGTGGACCTTGTAGCAGCTGAACCTGATGCTGGACCGGTAAATCTTCCAAGGGGACCAGAAGCAAATCTAGGAAGACCGCTAGTCTCAGATTTATGAGATACAGGAGTTAAAATTGTAGAAACCGAGTGGCTGCGGCCAATGAAATCAGAATCTGTAGAGCTAACATCACTTGCTTCCATTCTGTAACTCAAGCCAAAAACATGTTTAGTCCTGCTAAGGATTGTGAAAACTGATCTAACCAAGAGAAGGACGGTATAGTCATAAGTACGGTTCCAAAGAGACACATCCCGCAGATTCTTCACTTCATGTCTTTTCCATGTAACTTTTTTCTGATACTCCAAAAGATTGTCAGTTGCAGATTCATTGCTCTTCATTCTCTTGAAAGTCTGTTCAAGATCAGCAAGAATCTCAGTCTCCTGGTAGAGACTAGCATTTGATGAAATGAAACGTTCCATTTTCTTCGCTTTCTTATCCATTTTCTTCCACCCAAACTGCCACCCATAAGGGTCAACTCCAGTCTTCATCATATCACTAAAACAATTCTCAAAGCACTTCAACTTGGGATCATTGCATTTCCTCGCAAGCCTAGCCACAGCTTTCGCTACATTCTCAACGTTCTCCATCATTTCATCGCGTATCAACCTCACGATAAAATCATCGTCTTCTGAAACAAGCTTCTTTATACCAGTGGAATGCGTAATCTCGTCCCTAAGCCTTGTAACATTCTTATCACTTAGTGACTGCCACAAATGAACAAGCTTCGACAACAAACTCGCAACCTCAAACGCTAATACTCCGAGCACCGCCTTATCTTTATGACCATCATGTTTCTTTGGAAACCTCCACAGATTACGAAACCAAGTCTCTGAAACCATCCTCTCTCAACCTACTTTGCAATAGAGCAAAACAAAGAAATCAATACTATCAACATCAAAAAGCAATCAAATTTCAGAATAAAAAACCAGACCCACGATTGAAATCTCAAATTGAAAGAAAACAGAACATCAAGAAAACTGCAAGAAGTAACTCTCTTACACAGGGTATGGTTGAAATTGGGGAAATCTAGCTACAGAGCTCAAGTTACAGAGAAAAGCCCAAAATTTACAAACCCACAAATCGGGTCTCGTAGCTTAAAGCTTTCAACATGGAATTCACTAAAAGACCCATGATTTGAAATTGGAATTGTCGGCAAATCGAGAAGAAATAAAGCCGACACGGGAACAGTGAAAACCACAAAGCAAGGAAGCGCGTAAGAATGAAACAGTAGGAGAAAGAAGAGAATCTTACCGATCATTCGAGGAAAAAGATGTGAATCAGAGAAAAATCTGGAGAAGAAAAAAAAAGAAACTAATAGAAAGAGAGGAGGAAGATGCAGTGAAGACTGCTATAGAGCCACATCCCACATGGTGATGAGAGAGATAGAGAGAGGTTAAAGCAGCAAATTGTGGAGAGATAGAGAGAGAGAGACTGAGCGAGTCAAGTTCGTGTTTAAAAGAATCCTATATTTGCCTTTTTCTTATTTTTTTCTTTACTACTTTATTTTCAGACTATTTGCTTATTCTGCCTCAAACTTTTTGATTGTCACTTTTGGATCCTAAAGTGTTTGACAATTTACCTGCTTTTTTGTCCAAGAAAAATCAAAACAGATCAGAAAATTTATATATTTTCTATAAAAAACACGCAAAATTTCCTCCCTTTTTTAAGAATTAAAGCGGGTACGCAGAAGCTACAAACCTTTGAAAAAATTAGCAAGCGAATACGTGTTGAACACGTTATATCTATATGGATTAATACTATAGATTTATAAATAAAAAAACGGAAACTCTTGGAGCCAAAATATTTGGCAATCAACTGCAATTCCGTCCGAAAAAATCAAAACATTTATAATTTTCTAAAAACAGTGTGTAATTTCGTTGAAATCAAAAAGGAAATAAAGAGATTTCTATTTATATCATATATTTTGTTGTTTCCTACGATCATAATTTCATTATTTTATGAAACTTTCAAATTTAGTGTTATTTTGTTGAAAGGGAAAAAAAAACTAAGATATATTGTTTCTTTTGTTACATTGTCATGGATTATATATTCATTACAAAAAAATTATATTTTAATATGATGAGAAATTATCATCCACAAGGTCGAGCTTATATAAAACAAGTTAATAACTAATAACAAAAAAAAACTAATAACAATACATGTGATCACAATCAATGACAGTTTTGATCTTAAAATAGAAATGCTTGAGCAGCAAACCCCAAAATGTCTTCATGATTTTTAGGATCACAAAATCTTTCCTTTAGTTGATTAAAGCGTGGAGTTCGATTCTCTCCCTTGTAGACTTTTTATTTAATTTTTTTTTTGTATAATGATTGGTTTTAATTATTAAGTCCATAGATTTTTAGGACCAGCTCTAACCACGACAAATATCCTAAATTGTAACACATTCATAACTTAAAAGGTTGCATTCATAATTCTTACGAATTCAAATTCCTTTTTTTATTAATACTATAAGAGTTATATAGAAATGATAACTCCTTGGTCAACAATTGAATCAAGTAAACATCCATAACATAATGCATTTAAACTAGAAATTTTAAAAAACTTACATACTATGTTGGTAATAAAAACACAAATTGTGTAGTTGTACGTACTTTTAAAAAATTGTAATATCGAAAGCTTTAATATTTGCGAAATTAAATAAATCTATCTATATAAATGTAAAACATATTAATGCAAAATCCTGTAATTTCCATTTAGAACCAAACAAAAGAAACAAATTAAATAGTTTTTAACTTAACAAAAACGCTAGGGAAAATTGACCTAGTTAACTAGTTTCATTGACGTTGAACTTGTCAATGCGAAAGCGATGTTTCCAATATATATTACAAGTGTTATTTATATGGAAGTTTCTAAAAAGGTGTTTAGTGGATTGTTTTACTTGTTGTAGCATGCGATTTTTTTTTTCCTGCCATAATCTTTTACGAATATGGAATAACTACAAAACAAAAAAAATTAAAAAGAGAAAAAAACTACAAAGAAATTTACTCATGATTATAAAACGCTCACTTTGTTTGAAAAACCTCCTAATACACCAAATATGGCACTAGATTTTAGAAACGCTGACCAATTGTATCTATCTCAATATCAAAGAATTAAAATTACCGATGGCAAGAAAAGTTAGCCGAGAGAATTATCAAAAAGAAAAAAAAAAGTTAGCAGATTCTTAAGATAATCTTTTTTTTTTTTGGTATTATGAACATTTGCATCTATTTCAATCAAAAAATGAAAATCTCAAAAGATATGTAACTGTTTAAAAAATAAATTTACAGAGATTAATTTTCGGACTTTTGTTAGCTATAATAACGTCAAGAGATCTTTTTGTTTCAAGGCAAATTGGATTTTCTGTAATTATGAATTTATGATGATATAATAATGCTATTCATTGTCACAAAAAACATTACTTAAAAAAATCGTATTTTCATTACTACAATGTTGACTAAGAACCAAATTACATTGATTTCGTCAACAGAATTTTCTTCACACGGATATAATTCTCAAGCATAGCAAGAATCTCATACTAATATTTCGTGACTTCGTTTAGACGAAAAAATAAAGATTCGTAACTCATGACTTTTGTGACAGGTCTCTTGCTTTGGGGCCAATGCGAACAAATCTAAATGTATGGGAGTCAAATAAAATGTCTAAAAAATGAAGGAGCAACAGACAATAAACTATATAGGACCAGATCTCCTTTCTTTAGTTTAAAATAGGATTATCCCGAAAGATGAGGGACTAAATTAAAACTAATTGGGGGTAGGAAGAGATCCGTCACAATCATTAATGGCTACCACGCGGAAACTTGTCGTTTCTACAAATTTCATAAACTTTCGGGTCGGGTTTTGTATTCCAAATGGGTCAAATAATATTTGTTTAATTCGCTAATTGAGTAATTAGTTGGTGACTACAATTTTAACAATTTGGTGCAATTAGAAACGAACATAGCCGTAAAATACGAGATACGGTGTTATACTTAGTTTTGTTTACGTTATAAAATACGAGAATTTTGTGCCAAATTTCATGAATATATGGAAAATATTGGATATTGTAGCGAAAATAATGATTATGAACGTTTTACAATAAATGATTCCGCATTGAATTTCCTTAATGCAATTCGGTCAAATGTTGGCATGCAGCAAGTTTGCAACATTAAGTTCCATTTAAAAAACGTGTCGACATGCTTTAAATCTAAATATAGAAGAAGAACAAACATTTAATAAACTTTATTTAGTACTAAGATTCTAATGAACATTTATAAGTTATAGTAACTTATTATAACCCCATTACACTTTTTTATTTATTTTTACACTTACGTTGTTGCTTAGTCCTCGGAATAAAAAAACCTTGCAAATTAAACCACTTTAAAAAGGACTAATGACGATAATTAACAACAAAATACAGAAACTTAAGGGGTAACAACATCCTCGTGGATATAGTTTGGGCTTCAGGCCCATATTGCAAACCCACAGTTTTTCTAACTGATATCTTACTTTATTCCTTCGTCATCGCACCACTCTCTCTCTCTCTATCTCTAACGGCATAGCTGACTCAGTTTCTCCGGCATTGACTCGCCTGAGAATCAGAAAGCTTAGATCGGTGAGATTTTAGCTCCATTTTTTCTGTTTATTTAAATATCATTTCCTTTTTTAAAAATAAATTTTTACTTTCTCTCTCCCTATTTTATCTGGAATTTGTTCTGCTAAATTTTCAGCTGTTACATCCCCGGATCACGAGAAGATTCACTGGGTTTATTATTATCAATTCATATTTTCTGATTTCTGATTTCTGATCATAATCTCAGCTATTAACACCTGAATTTGATTCTTGGTAATTAAAAACCCAGATTTGCTTTATCTTCACTTTCCCCAGAAACATTGTTTTTACTTTATTCGCTCTTCTTTTGCCGTTTCCTAATTTACTTTCCAGCTCTTCCTATTGAATGTGTTTCTCGTTTTGTTGATGAGAAAAAATATCTGACAAAAAAATCATTTATTGCATTTTATGGTGCAGATTCTTAGTTAATGTCGCCTTCTCTACCCAAGTTAGATTATAAGGAGTGTTCGTCCATGTAGCTTGGTTTGGTGAGAGTTTTCGTCAAGTTAGGGGAGAGTTAGGTAGAAGCATTTGGGTGAGTGTGATACATTAGTAGTGGGAGTGTGGTATGAATTCGAGGGCTGATCCCGGGGATGGCTATTTTCGAGTTCCTTTGGAGAATCAAACTCAACAAGAGTTCCAATTCATGGGTTCTTGGATTCCATTTACACCTAAGAAACCTCTGCAAGGTGGTGGTAGATCAAGTCTGATCGTAGATGAGGGAGTGATACACCAGGATCTAAATGGGGTTCCAGGTGTTGAATTTGTAGAGAGGGGATTCTGCAACAGTGGTGTGGATCATAATGGGGTTTATGGCCATGGTGCTCATCAGGGTGTGACCAACTTAAATAGAATGATTAATAGCTTAGCGGGATCACATGCACAAGCTAAGAGTAATAGTGAGAGAGATCTTTTGGGCAGGAGTGATGTGACTTCTCCTTTAGCACCAGTTATCAGAAACACCACCCGTAATGTAGAGCCGGTCAATGGAAATTTTACTTCAAATGTGGGTATGGTAAACGGTCCTTTCACCCAGAGTGGCAGTTCTCAAGCTGGCTATACTGAGTTTGAATTGGACGACTTGTTGAATCCCGATCATATGCCCTTCTCCTTCACAAGCTTGCTGAGTGGTGGGGATAGCTTATTCCAGGTTCGTCAATGTGAGTGATCAAATCTATTTTCAGTTCTTTTTTTTATCCATTCTTGCAGTATTTAGTGTAGAACATTATTTTTATATATTCTGTTGGTATGAGCATGAGTTAGAGAACTTTTTAAGCATGAATTAGACTGGTACGGCATATCATCATTAAACTTCATAGTCCATGCTGTATCTTAAGAAAGTGATGGTTTTGAACAGATGGAACTCCAGCGTGTAGCAAGCCTCTTTACAATTTGAATTCACCAATCAGAAGAGAAGCAGTTGGGTCAGTCTGTGAAAGTTCGTTTCAATATGTACCGTCAACCCCCAGTCTGTGCAGAACAGGTGAAAAGAATGGATTCCTTGAACAGATAGTTACAACCATTGGACATGAAATCACAGAGCCGAAATCTGACAAAGGTATGCAGAGCATTATGGACGCGTCTGCTGTTAATGCGACGGAAGTTACTGAACAAAATGATGGCAGCAGACAAGATGTTCTGGAGTTTGATCTTAACAAGACACCTCAGCAGAAACCCTCCAAAAGGAAAAAGAAGTTCATGCCCAAGGTGGTCGTGGAAGG